ATATTCGTACTTCGGGGTTGAACTGTGGGGGTCCCTGATGCTCTCTGAGCTGGGCGGTTTTCCCGCAGACGTTTCATGACCCGACTAGGTAACATTATCAGTGCTAGAAGGGAGGTGGGGTTTGAGGAGAGGAGGAGGAGGAAGAGGATGATTATGGGGTCCTTGGTGCTCTCTGAGCTGGGTGGTTTTCCTGCGGACGTTTCATGACCCAACTAAGTAACATCATCAGTGCTAGAAGGGAGGGGGGTTTGAGGAGAGGAGGAAGAGGAGGATTATGTGGGTGTTTGGGAATGAGCTCGTATTTATGATGGCTTCAACATTTGGGTTTATGTGGTATAATAATAATAATTAATAATTAATAATAATAATAATAATAATAATAATAATAATAATAATAATAATAATAATAATAATAATAAAAACAACTAACCAAAGAGAGAAGCAACCTAGAACTAAGGAGAAACTTCCTGACAGTCAGAACAATTAACCAGAGGAACAACCTGCCTCCAGAAGTGGTGAATGCTTCAACACTGGAAGTTTTTAAGAAGAGACTGGACAGCCATTTGTCCGAAATGGTATAGCCTTTCCTGCCTGAGCAGGGGGTTGGACTAGATGACCTCCAAGGTCCCTTCCAACTTTATTATTATTGTTGTTGTTGTTGTTGTTGTAATCTAGTCATCTAGTCCAAGCCCCTGCCCAGGCAGGAAACCCCATATCATTTCAGACAAATGGCTGTCCAGTCTCTTCTTAAAAACTTGCAGTGTTGGAGCATTCATAGCTTCTGGAGGCAGGTTGTTAATAATAATAATAAAGTCGGAAGGGACCTTGGAGGTCATCTAGTCCAACCCCCTGCTCAGGCAGGAAACCCTATACCACTTCGGATAAATGGCTGTCCAGTCTCTTCTTTAAAACTTCCAGTGTTGGAGCATTCACCGCTTCTGGAGGCAAGGAGTTCCATTGGTTAATTGTTCTAATTGTCAGGAAGTTTCTCCTTAGTTCCAGGTTGCTTCTCTCCTTGATCAGTTTCCATCCATTGCTTCTTGTCCTGCCTTCAGGCGCTTTGGAGAAGAGCTTGACTCCCTCTTCTTTGGGGCGGCCCCTGAAATACTGGAAGACTGCTATCATTTATTTATTTATTTATTTATTTATTTATTTATTGAATTTATATACCGCCCTATCTCCCTTACGGGACTCAGGGCGGTGAACAGGCGATAATAAAAACCATGATAAATATAGGCAGTTCTAAAATCAAATTAAATAACGGGCCAGTTCTAAAAACACACCCATACAAAAACCCCCACTAAAACATAATCAAACTACGCCAGGCCGGCCGCACGGAATAGATGGGCCTTGAGGGCCCATCATGTCCCCCCTGGTCCTCTTCACTAAACTATCTGTGGTTTTTAAGGAAGGACTGGACAGCCATTTGTGCGGAATGGTATAGGGTGTCTTGCTTGAGCAGACGGTTGGACTAGAAGACCTCCAAGGTCCCTTCCAACTCTGTTTATTCTATTCTATTCTATTCTATTTCCTATTCTATTTCCTATTCTCTTCTATATTCTATTCTCTTCTATATTATTCTATTCTACTCTACTCTATTGTACATTCTATTCTATTCTATATTATTATTCTATTGTATTGTATTCTACTCTATTCTGCATTCTATTCTATTCTATTTCCTATTCTATTTCCTATTCTCTTCTATATTCTATTCTCTTCTATATTATTCTATTCTACTCTACTCTATTGTACATTCTATTCTATTCTATATTATTATTCTATTGTATTGTATTCTACTCTATTCTGCATTCTATTCTATTCTATTCTATTCTATTTCCTATTCTATTTCCTATTCTCTTCTATATTCTATTCTATTCTATATTATTCTAATCTACTCTACTCTACACTATTGTACATTCTATTCTATTCTATATTATTATTCTATTCTATTGTATTCTACTCTATTCTGCATTCTATTCTATTCTATTCTATTCTATTCTATTCTACTCTACCTCCTCTCTTCTCTTCTCTTCTCTTCTCTTCTCTTCTCTCCTCTCCCCTCCTCTCCCCTCCCCTCCCCTCCCCTCCCCTCCCCTCCGTATTCTGTGGCACACCAGCCCTCTGTTGCTCGCTTCCAGCCCTCCCTGGCGGGTGTGGGAAGGCAGGCGAGGACCAAGGCTTTCTGGCCCAGAGAGAATTAGGTTATGTCAGCTGGGGAGACAGCATGATCCTGCAGATAAGCCCTGGGTGCTGTTGGGTCAGAGGGCTGGCGGTAAGACATTCTTGGCAACTGACTCGGGGATGACCTCAGGAGGGTTCAGCTCCACGTCTTGCCGGCCTGTGGGGGGGGGGGAGGACGGCGGGAGGCTTTGCAGACGGAGAGCTATCTGGAGAAAAGGACCTCGTTCCCAGTTCCTCAAATCTCCTGGGATTTTCCAAAGAGGAGAAAATCCCCCTGATTGCGCTGCCTGCCAGACGAATAAATCCCGTTTTGTTTTGTTTTGTTTTTTTTTAATTGCCTTTGCTGTAGAAGTTCTGCTGCTGGATGAAAAGCAGGCAGCCGCTTTGTGAATTCGCACAATGCAATGAAAAGTTACTGATTGATTTCAATTGTTTATTTGTATCCCGCCTTTATTCTGACACCTACAACTCAAGGCGGCCAACGTAATCCGAGACAGTTTCCGCTTCCTATTTTTCCGACGACAACGACCCTGTGGGGTGGGATGGGCTGAGACAGAGGGGGACTGGCTTTCGTGCCTAAGGTGGGATTGAACTCAACGTCTGCTGGTGATTGGGCCAAAGTCACCCAGCTGGCTTTCATGCCTAAGGCAGGACTAGAACTCCCAGTCTCCTGGTGATTGGCCCACAGTCACCCAGCCAGCTCTCGTGCCTAAGGCGGGACTAGAACTCGCCGTCTCCTAGTGATTGGCCCACAGTCACCCAGCCGGCTTTCATGCCTAAGGCGGGACTAGAACTCACCGTCTCCTGGTGATTGGCCCACAGTCACCCAGCCAGCTCTCGTGCCTAAGGCGGGACTAGAACTCGCCGTCTCCTAGTGATTGGCCCACAGTCACCCAGCCGGCTTTCATGCCTAAGGCGGGACTAGAACTCACCGTCTCCTAGTGATTGGCCCACAGTCACCCAGCCGGCTTTCATGCCTAAGGCGGGACTAGAACTCACCGTCTCCTGGTGATTGGCCCAAAGTCACCCAGCCGGCTTTCATGCCTAAGGCGGGACTAGAACTCACCGTCTCCTAGTGATTGGCCCACAGTCACCCAGCCGGCTTTCATGCCTAAGGCGGGACTAGAACTCACCGTCTCCTAGTGATTGGCCCA